TCTTGGGTTGCACGAACAAGATCAGATCAAAACTGGATCAAACGGATGCAAACAGATCAAAACGAAATTTTGCTGCCAGACACCTTCCAGCGGCGCGTGAGGGCGCGTGCGGCGTCGGATTCCGGCGACGTCGGCGGCGATGGAAAGCTCTCGTCGAGACGGCCGTCTGGGTATACTGTACGTCTCAATCGGACTTCCGGTTAGTTCTGTTGGTCAAAATCTATTTCGTCTCGGTTTACCTACAGATCTTCTACTATATTACTCAATACACCCTTCTTCAACTTGTACCAGTGGAGCAACAAGAAGAAGATAAAGATCTAGAGAGAGAGAGATGGGCGGCATGTATCACGTGTGAATAGGATTGGGATCCTCTTCTCATGAGCTTAATAATGTATATATAGAGCTACAGTAGGGACCCTAAGGAGATTAGGAAAAGGGCTCCTTAATTAATTAGACTAACTGTGGGCCAAACCCACTCCTCTAATTAATTAAATAATATTAATGGGCCACCAACATTATATTATTGCACTCCCTTTCCCTAGCCCAAATTACATTTGAGACTCCAATAATAATTACTCGATTTACCTCCCCACGTTTAAGATATAATGTCCATTAATTAATTCGATTACTGACAATCAAGAATTAATTAATTTATTATTATTTCACCGAAGCTTGCCTCGTTCATCACATTCTTATTATGCCGGAATTTAATCCACCTGCAGGGTTTAGCATAACAATCCTTCATGAACTCACTCCGGGGACATCATCAAACTAACGCACATGGTGACCGTAAATATCCTAACAGCACATCCTATATATAATAATATTACCCAAAACAGTAGGAATATTAATCCAGCGAACTGAACTTCACTCATGTGAATCAAAGTAATATATATTATATATATCTGCCTGTTTAATATCTTACGGGTTAAGAGAACGCAGTAATTAACCGAGGCCTAGTTCATTTACGACGATCAGTATAAAATGAACTTCTCCTCTCTGGGATCCTGTTCAATACATAAATGTACTAGGGTTGTGAACAACTATTCTTGTTCACAAGTGACTGATAGAGTGATCTTCGTTTCGCCCGATGACGACCCACCCTATCTAAGTGCAGAACAACAGAACGTAGAACTTGTTTAATCTAACATGATTCTCATTCATAAAGGGTAAATGTGTAATAACATGCAAAGCCAAGCTTTCAGTATATAACACTAACAGAAACAGTTATCTTATTTGATAGGATACTTACGGTTAAATAAACTCTTAAATTTTATTGCGAAAATCATAAAAGTATTTAAGAATCTTGAATAATATCAATAAATAAAATATTTTATGTATAAAATTTTGAATTATAATCGTTTATAGAGCGCTCAACTTGATAATTAACTGTTCAAATAAAATAAGAATAATAATAATTAAAATGTCACGAACATTTTTATTAATAATTGAATGAAAAATTTTAAATATTTTAAGTCTTAATAATTAAAAAATTACGCAACTTGATTTTAATCACCTAATGGTCACGTGAAGATTCGTTAACTCTATTAGCTTTGCGACCAAAATATGAAAATACAAACCACTAAACAATGACGATTTTTGTGGGATCAAAATTCAATCCAATAAAACTAAGGTGCAATCTAATTCTAGTTCTAAATACAAGAGTTTATTTTTCTTAAATAATGACCTAGTTAAATGAATTCTTCCACTATTCTAGTTTGTTAGATTATGTATATATTTCACGTGTGCATGATTTCAGTAATATTTTAGGTATCTTCTCTTAATTAAAGTTATGTATGTATCTTGGAAATTATTTATTATATAAACTTTACCCCTCAACTAAATTATCATATTTTACCAAGATTTATCGTTTTGTTAAAAGATAGGTAAACAAATAGTTGAGAATATTTAGATCTTTTATAAGTATTTATTATGTTGTTTGTTGCATAATTTTTTGTTTAAATAAATTTTATATTTTAAAATCATTAAATATGATTACGATTTTATCATCAAAAGTATATTAAAAATAAGTACGTTATTCAAAACAAAAATTCAATATCATTTCAAAACTTTGTTGTCTGGGTTACTGTTGAGTTGATTTTTTAGAGATATGGAAGAAAACAGTTTGGGAGATACGTGGAAGAAACCAAATTCTTGAAGAATAATGGTGTGAATATTGTGGATGATTTTTAAGAGATGTGGAATATTTTGTTCATTTAATTGTATTAAATGAATGAAATATTAAATGAGTATTAGTGTATTACTAATTTGACATTAAAAATATGTCAAAGAAAAGGCTTTTTAGGTAAATATTAGTTATTAAAAATAAAAATATAAGATGGGATATATATTATGTACTAATTTGCCATTTAAAATATTGTTTACAAGAACCAATTTGTTTTGGTGGACTTCTGTGGAAGAGTTATTTTTTTCCAACAGCTACTTAGCTAAGAGATCATAGCAATTTCTTCAAAGACTACCTCAATCTCCATCACTTCTAGTAAAATTTAGAATTATTTGAGTCATACTTTGGGCGTGGATCATAATAGTCTTCAATGTTACGCTGTTATTTATTTAATTAAATATTAGTGATTAATTAAAAAATATAAGATTTGAAGAGTATTAGTGTATTAATAATTTGACATTAAAATTAAGTCAAAGTAAGAGTTTTTTAGGTAGTTCATTTGTTAATTAAAAATATAAAATAAGATGAGTATTACTGTATTACTAATTGCCATAAAAAATATGTCAAAGTAAGAGTTTTTTAGGCAGATCATCATTTGTTAATTAAAAATATAAAATAAGACGAGTATTACTGAATTACTAATTTACCATTAAATATATGTCAAAGTAAGGGTTTAGGCAAATCATTATTTTTACAAAATCACTCGTCCTTTTATAATAATATAGATAGATTACGAAACATCAGTTGACTCTGCAATTCAAACATCCTCCTCCATTTTTTAAAGAAAGACATTTTCAGTTCACTTCCAGTGATCCGACCGTCGGATTTTCTCACAATCATATGTATATGAAAAATCCATCTCACCATGTGGGTCCCTTCTTCATACTTTTTGGGGTACCCCAAAACAAACACATGTTATGTTACGTTAGATACACACAAAGTAAGTCATACATCGAAATCACATTAATTTGCAGCTTACTATCTATCTTGCGCACACAGATTACTTGACCGTGCAGCCATAAAGCAGTCGGCGGACACGACAACAGCATGGAACACGTGCACCGTCACGCAAGTCGAGGAGACCAAAATCCTAATCCGCATGATTCCCATCATCTTCACCACCTTCTTCATGAACATCTGCCTCTCCCAGCTCCAAACCTTCTCCATCCAACAAAGCAACACCACAAACCGTAGGATCGGAAACTTCCAGATCCCCCCATCCTCCGTCGGCGTCATCCCTCTCCTATTCGTATTCCTACTGATCCTACTCTACGACCGCACGTTCGTCCCATTGGCCAGAAAAATCACGAGAAACCCAAACGGCATCACGCAGCTCCAGAGAATCGGGGCCGGCCTTGCGCTCTCGGCCTTATCCATGGGGGTCGCAGGTCTCGTGGAGGTGCGCAGGAAATGCCTAGGCCTAGGCCAGCAGCGGATGACCGTCTTCTGGCTGCTCATCCAATACGCAGTTTTCGGGGTGGCCGAAGTGTTTGTGCTCGTGGGGCTCCTGGATTTCTTCTACACCGAGAGCTCGTCCGGGATGAAGTCCCTGGGGACGGCTATCTCCTGGTGCTCGTACGCGTTTGGCTACTACGGGAGCTCGGTTGTCGTGAGCGTGGTCAACAGGGCCAGCGAGGGGTGGCTGGCAAATGCTGATTTGAATAAGGATAGATTGGAGTATTTCTACTGGCTTCTCGCGGGGCTGAGCACGCTCAATCTCGGGGTCTACTTGTTGTGTGCGTCGTGGTACAGGTACAACAAGTTAAAGTTGGAGGTGGTGAGACCAAGGGATTCTTGTTAAGCCTTGTCTGGATTTTTACTGCCAATTGTGTTATATGCGTGCTCCTTCTTCATGTATACATTGGGTTAAAGAAAAAATTATTATGTGTATAATACCATATATGTATGCATCATTGTGTGTGTTGGTATTTAGAATAAATATGTTATTATTTGTAAAGGTAAGTAATATGAATGAACGAAATGGAATTGGAATTGTAATGTTAACAGGATAGTTGATATATTTTGTAAAATGGGAGGAATGCTTAATGTAAAACACTTTTTATTTCTATTTGTTTTGTTACAATCAAATTAATCAACCAAGGCCCTATTTTATAGAATCACTAAGTCGGTGATGAGCATTAATTCAACAGCTAACTTATTTCTACTCATCAACCAACTAATAATCATTAATTATTATAACAACCAACTAATTTCTAGAATAAGCATTAATATTAGTTTCTAGATTTTTCACAAAATGAGCATTAATTTTTAACACTCCCCCTTAATGCTCATTTGGATTATTCCAAGTTTTTCGCGTAGAGTCTCAAATCTTGGTCGCGGTAAAGCCTTTGTGAAAATATCTGCAAGTTGATCTTCAGTGGCAACATATGTGAGCTCTATCTGCTTGTCATTAGTGGCTTCACGTAGAAAGTGATATTTGATAGTAATGTGTTTGGTTCTGCTGTGATGTACAGGATTTTTTGCCATTGCTATCGCTGACTTGTTGTCGCAGTATATCTCTGTTGGACTTTCTTGGTGTTCTCCCATGTATCCAAGAATACGCCTAAGCCAAATAGCTTGACTTGTCGTTAATGCTGCTGCGACATACTCGGCTTCTGCAGAAGTTTGTGCCACACAGTTTTGCTTTTTAGATGACCATGAGAATATGCCTGAGCCAAGTGAAAATGTGTAGCCCGATGTGCTTTTCATATCGTCAGTTGATCCGGCCCAGTCACTGTCTGTGTAGCCGACCAGTCTTGAGTCTTCATTATATTCGTATTTGATTCCGTAGTCTTTAGTACCCTGCAAATATCGCAGTATTCTCTTCGCAGCTCCATAGTGAACTTGGCTCGGACTTTGCATGAACCTTGAAAGTAGACTTGTCGCGTACATGATATCAGGTCTTGTGGCTGTCAGATATAGTAGGCTTCCAATCAGACTTCGGTATGTGGATGCGTCTGCATTTGGCGTACCATCGTCTTTGCTGAATTTTTCGTTTGCAACCATGGGAGGAGCCACTGGTTTACAACTGTCCATCTTGAACCTTTTTAGTAGATTATTTATGTATTTCCTCTGTGAGATAAATATCCCGTTTCCGTCTTGGGTTACCTCAATGCCGAGAAAATAGCTCATTTGCCCAAGGTCAGTCATCTCAAAGGTCTTCATCATATCTTCTTTGAACTCCTTACTCATCTCCTCATTGTTCCCTGTATAAATAAGATCATCAACATAAAGAGAAACAATGAGTTTGTTGTCGTTACCTTGGGTTTTGATGTAGAGTGTTGGCTCAATTTCGCTTCTTTTGAATCCATGACTGGTGAAGTAGTCATCAATTCGGCTGTACCAAGCCCGTGGGGCTTGTTTCAATCCATAAAGCGCCTTCTTTAGTTTTAGGACTTTATTTTCTTGTCCTTCTGCCATGAACCCTTGAGGTTGTTCGACATAGATCTCTTCTTCTAGATAGCCATTGAGGAATGCTGACTTTACATCGAGCTGGTAGATTTTCCATTTCTTCTGGGCCTCGAGATCGATTAGAGCCCTTATAGTATCTAGCCGAGCAACTGGAGCGAAGGTCTCGTTGTAGTCGATCCCCGAAAGTTTTGAGTACCCTTTAGCTACCAGTCGTGCTTTATGTTTTTGGATTGAGCCATCTGGATTCAGCTTTGTTTTGTAGACCCATTTGACTCCAATGACTTCCTTGTTATTTGGTGGATCGACCAACTCCCAAGTTTTATTCTTCTCGATCATCCTGATTTCTTCCTCCATGGCTTTTACCCATTCTTTTTGTTTTACTGCTGCTTCAAAGTTCTCTGGTTCCATCGTGGCAAAATTGCATGTCTCGTAGATCTCCCTAAGTGTTCGTACTTTTCTTGTGGTGATTTTGAGGATGACTGTTCGTCGCTTGATGGTGATGATGTTCTAGGACTGGAAGGTTGTGGAGTTGGAGATGATTGTGTACCTTCTGTTTCATCTTCTTGTTCTTCTGGTATGATATTTTGCCTCCGTGATGTAGGTACCATGATATTTTGGTATTCGACTTTTTCTTCCTCCCAGTTCCACGCAGCATTTTCATCGAACTCAACATCTCGACTGATAATTAGTTTACCAGTCTGAAGGATGTAAATTCTGTATCCTTTAGATTGAGACGCATAGCCGAGAAATACGCCTTTCTCGGATTTCTCCTCAAGTTTGTGCCTCTTTTCCTTTGGGATGTGCACGTAGCAGATACTCCCAAAGACTCGTAGATGTTGTGCTGATGGCTTTCGTCCACTCCAAGCTTCTATTGGAGTTTTATTTTGGACAGCTTTAGTAGGGCACCTGTTGAGTATATAAACTGCAATGTACACAGCTTCTGCCCAAAATTCTTTTTGCATGTTCTTCTCCGCAAGCATTGTCCTGGCCATCTCTTGCACGGTTCTGTTTTTCCTTTCTGACACACCATTTTGCTCTGGAGCATAGCCGACAGTTAGCTGATGGTTGACTCCTTCATCCTCGCAGAATTTGTTGAACTCCTTGGATGTGTACTCTGTACCTCGATCACTCCGAAGTACTTTAATTCTTCTTCCACTCTGATTTTCGACGAGGCTTTTAAATTTCTTGAAAATAGAGAAGACTTCTGATCTCTCTTTCATGAAGTACACCCAAGTCATTCTTGTGTAGTCATCAATGAAGAGGATGAAGTACTTGTTTTTCTCGAAGGTTGGCGTCCTCATTGGTCCACACACGTCCGTATGCACCAGCTCCAGTATTTGTTTGGCTCTTCCTTCTTGGCTTGAAGGAAATGGTTTCCTATGTTGTTTGCCCTCCATGCACTTTTCGCAGAGATTGTTGTTCATTTGGATGGCCGGTAGATTTTTCATCATATTTTTCTGATGGAGTAACTTTAGCCCGTTGAAGTTGAAGTGCCCGAACCTTCGATGCCATAGCCAGGATTGATCTTCTTCGGCTTTTAGTGCTGCTTCTATGAATTTCCAACGGAGCGGAAAGTTTCTCCGTTGTTGCATTTTTACTACAGCTATGGGAATGTTTTTGTTGTCATAAATGGTGCAAGAGTTGTCTTTGAATAGTAGCTTGTATCCTCTTTCCACCATTTGTCCCACGCTGAGTAAATTTGTATCTAGTTTTGGTACTAGCAGCACATCATCAACGAGACGAGTACCTTTTGGGTCTCGACCTCAATTGAGCCTTTGCCTTCAACTTCTACTATATCTCCATTGCCCAACCGAACTTGTGATTTTACAGTTCTATCAATATTTTTAAATTTTTTCTCATCTCCGGTCATATGATTGCTACAGCCGCTATCTAGGAACCAAATATCATTTTTCTCTTGTGAAGTTGCATGTATTGCATAGAATAGCAAATTTTCTCCTTTTTCATTTTCTTCAGAGAAATTTGCTTGATATTTTTTAGTGCGGCAATTTTTCTCCACATGACCGAATTTACCACAATTTTTACATTGTGGTTTATCTCTGTACCAACAATCCTTCTCAAGATGGTTGGTCTTTTTGCAAACTCCACAAGGTAGATATTTTTCTTTTTGTGGATTATTATTATTATTTCCACCTTGTTTTTTATTTTTGCTATTTTCTCCAAATCTTCTCCCCCCAATTTTAGAATTCTGAGACCGTAAATTTAGTTTTGACTGAAATGCATTTTCGACTATATCATTTTCACGCATATTCAGTCTTTTTTCATAGGCTTCAAGTGAACCTATTAATTCTGTCACTGACAAATGATCCAAATCTTTAGTTTCTTCAGTCGTCGTGACGATAGGATCATATTTAGCTGGTAGAGTAATTAGAATTTTTTCTACCACCCTTTTGTCGGTGATATTTTCTCCATATGCTTTTAATTGATTTACTACTTCTCTTAACCGAGTGTAGTAATCTTTTACGGTCTCAGATTCTTTCATTTTCATATTTTCCAAATGTCTTCTTAGAATTTGTAATTTTAGATGACGTACCTTGTCACTACCCTGATATTCTTCTTTTAAAGTATCCCACGCCTCATTTGATGTTTGTGCTCCGCTAATTCTTGGAAACAGGGACTCCGTCATGGCCATTTGTAGTGTAAAAAGAGCCAAACTGTCTTTTTCCTTCTCCCGGTCGAATTTTTCTTCGTCCGCCGTAGACAAAGTGGATATGTCATCGGGGATAGTATACCCGTTCTCGACAATATTCCATAGACCTTGAGACATAAAGTATGTTCTCATTTTGATGGACCAATAGTTGTAATTTTCGCCGGAAAAAATAAGAATTGGTATTTGATGGGTGTTTTGGGAAGTGGCCATTTTAGAAATTTAGTAGGCTATATGGAAGTAAGAGAATATATGAAAGTAGGGTATTTGGACAAGATATGTAAAAATAGGAGGATATGAATAAGAATTACGCCCAGCTATTGATGCAACCGGGCTCTGATACCACTGTTGGTATTTAGAATAAATATGTTATTATTTGTAAAGATAAGTAATATGAATGAACGAAATGGAATTGGAATTGTAATGTTAACAGGAAGTTGATATATTTTGTAAAATGGGAGGAATGCTTAATGTAAAACACTTTTTATTTCTATTTGTTTTGTTACAATCAAATTAATCAACCAAGGCCCTATTTTATAGAATCAATCAGTCGGTGATGAGCATTAATTCAACAGCTAACTTATTTCTACTCATCAACCAACTAATAATCATTAATTATTATAACAACCAACTAATTTCTAGAATAAGCATTAATATTAGTTTCTAGATTTTTCACAAAATGAGCATTAATTTTTAACAGTGTGAGTTTACGAAATTAATACTACTGTCTGTATGCGCAGTGTGTAGTAAACATAACCAAGGTAATAACATACATATATGTATGCATCAATCAATAAAAGGCTGTGAACTAGTTCACCATACGATAAGCATTCCTATTCCACTTTCCATACTGAAATTTAGTAACGCTTTTCTGGTTTTGGGTTAAATCCAAAACAACTAATCCTGAAATCAACTCTAGTTACACAATAAATACTAGCATATCGATAGAGCATTTTTTTGTAGTAGCACCAAAACGCTGGGGCAATTTCGTAAATAGTCATCCCTATAACTAGTAAAAACAGAGACAAGAAGAAAAGTGAACTTGGTGTTTAGAGTAACAGTACACATAGAGCACATATTGTGCCTACAGGAGAACAGCGATTTAATTTACATACAAGTAAAAGGAAAAGAAAATTTTTCTACCATTTCACATCCAGCGTTAAGGCCTCCGGATGGAGGAGCACCGAAGGAAACTGTGTGAAAGAAATATTCGAAGATAAACTACTCCACGCGAATGTATCTGTATCTATCATAGGCCTGACCTTCTTGATGGCCAATGGCCTCAAAACTTCATCTTCAATTCTTGCCAATACTTCAAAATACACGCGCTCGACGGTAGGCCTCGTTCTCCACTTGGCAGACGTGCTCCAAAATGCATCATCATCCCTAATCTCTCTTTCCAGTTCCAAACGGAAACGGAATACGGACAACGGTTTAACTCTAGTCTTCACAGATCCCAAGGCATTATAACTTTTACTGCTGCTATTGTTTAAAAAGCTCCTCAAAACTCTCTCGAGCGAGCCTATTCTGCTGCTCAGGGAATTATGAAGACTGCTCGGTTTCTTGTGGTTTGGCATGCCATAACATTTGTCCGGAAATAATTTAATTGCATTTTTGGAGGTGAAAGCAGTCTGAACGAGTGTTGTGGGCCTTTGATTTCTGTGTGCCAATACGAATGCGGGCCCCAGAATGCGTATGGGCGTTGGTGCCGTGCATAAACCGGGCAAAATAGTGCCAACATAGTTCCAGTTTCTATTAGTGGAAATAGTAGGATGATGGAACATGGAAATTTCTCGTGCGCCTTGTACTTCTACAAGAATACCTTCACCGACTGATATCTGCTTCAGACCAGAATGGGTCATGTTTAACTGAAATCAACGCCCAAGAAAGACCCACTCTCAGTATGAGTACAAAATACTGCTGAAAACGATTCAGACAAGTGCAAATGATTCTAGACAGAACAAAACCATAACTTAACGATGACTCTGATTGAAGTGTGCGCGCGAGAGAAAATGAGAAAGAACATTAACATAAAAAACAGTTACTTGCTTGAAACTTGACAAATGACGACATACCATGAAACATCGCATTTTTTCAAAAAACCTACTCGCATTTTTACGGTGCTTTACAGTATAGTGGGGTAGTGAACACCCGGAAAAAAATGCATGTAAAAAGCTTTAACTTGAATCTAGTGCAAAAGTAGAAGGGATACAAATACCATAACCACTCTTATCCAAATTAGTTTAGCCTGCGCCATCAACATAGCCCGCCAACCATTCACAGCAATAGACTTTTCTCATCAAATTCCAATAGCTAAAGTATATATAACAACAATAACAATTTCTTTGAGGGCCGAAACAGATTTCATCATCAACACTAAAGAAATAATTCTTTTTTATTTCCAATTAGGTTTCCTAGTCCATATTTTTCACCGTATTTTATCCATTCATGACCAACTGCTGACAGCTTATATTAAATCATCCCAAACATTATCTTTGAAACTGATCAAGAATTAATTCAACGCCATAAAAAGATTCAGAAATAGATTGTGGACAAACTTACGGGCAACAGAAGCGAGAGCTGATCATTATCACTTGTGACCCGCAGTTCGAAAGGGCCTTCAATTTTGAAACTGTCAATTACAGCCTCGGTCGCAATAATCGTAGCCAAAGACTCAAAATTCAGTGTTCCGTTCATTTGATCCATCATTTTTTTCCATTCTGATAATTCCTCGTGCATCTTAAGAACAATTTCAGCCTTCCCAAAACGAACCCTTAACTCATATCTAAGCCCTGTTCTGTATTTAGCTTTCTTCATGTCCACCTCAGAAACCCGAATATCCTCCACCGCCCATCTCTCTTTATTGGCAATTGCATCTAAAACACCCTAAGTTCAACAAGAAAAATCGATCAATTTGACATTTCTAAAAACTGGCAACTCTTCTGGGACACAGTTTGTGTGATCAAGCTATGAACTTGGAGACAAAAAATGTTAATTCATAATCAGCAAAACTCACACCTCAGCCTAAACTCTTTAGACACCAATAGTGTCAACTCAAAAAAGAGAACAGCAAGTCAACGGGAAACGAAACGAAGTAATTAACACAAATTTCTAAAATTAACCTGCAGAAAAGGCGGGGGTTGCGGCAGAGGAGTGTCCGATTCAGTGAAGGAAGTGACTTTGGGATAAAGAAAGTGGGAGAGATTGAACGGCGTAATGGACGAGTGTATTGATATGATGTAATGGGACCATATCAGATAAAACGGCGTCAAAACTCCGGTGATCATTGGGAATTTGTCACCGGACATGGCTGATTATCGATTAAGGACCAAATAGCAAAAACAGTATTTTGCTGATCTTAGGCGTGAAATGAATACCGCGGCCAGGTGGGATCATAATGATCTAACAATAGAAATGGTCATAAAACAAAACTAGTACATAGCCCGATGCACGGGTGCACAATTTTAAGGCCATTTATCTAGGATGAATAAAGAAAAATGTACGAGATATATATAGTACGTGACCCGTGCGAAGCAGGCCATATATTTATTTGGAGAATATTATATTATAAGATGCAATATTCAATAAACGTTTATAATACGCAAGAAAATTGTACAATGTTCAATAAAAGTTTATAATATTCAAGTGGAGTCTTAAAGTCTCTTGTACATTAAGACTACTGCCAAATAATATTATAATCAATAAATTTTCTTTTCTTATAGCCAAATTGTGAATGTGATTTGAGGAGTACAACAAATCGATATATAGCTGACTTGCTTTTTTCATTGTAATTTTTTTTTCTTTTTTTTTTTTATAATGAATTTAAAGATATTCTAAAGTATAGCAAAAATTAATTTTTTTTATTACAATTAAGAATTTTACTAAATATAGACTCTCAATCTATGGTGTTAATCAACATTTAAGTCTAAAAAATTAGGAATTTTTACCTCTTTTAATCAACGTTTAAGTCTAAAAAACAATAGAGTTATTATAAGTTTTTTTCTACATCTTTTAAAACATTAAATATGAGCATGTTAGGGCTAGCCTGTAAAATAATTAATATATTATCTCACTAAAACATCTATACTAATAAAAATTTAATTTTAGCATATAAATTTATCCCTTGATATAAGAGAAAGTAACAGTTTTACTTATTGTTGTTCACCATATAATATTTAATTATTATTTTATTATATAATAAAAAAAGAATATTGTTAAATAGTGTAGTAGAATTGTTATAAAATTATATGATTTTTTTTAATGCCATAATATTTACTAATTGTCAAATGTGATTAAATGCTAAATGTGTAATTGTCTAATTGATTTTTGTGATATATTTAATTATTAATGTGTATTATAAAAATATGAAATATATATATATATATATATTTTTCGGTATATTTTATCGCGCGTTTGCATTCGAAATCGAGCTCGAGAATTTTCGTTGGAACCGAAATTGGGCCCGAAGATGTCCGTTTAAATTTTTAATCGAGCCCGTGAGCCGATTTGATGTCCCAACCGACCCAAAATCCATTTGTCCCAACTTCTCGGGCCCGGCCCGATAGAATTTTCTCCTCTTTTTCTTTCTTTCACGCGCGTGTGTGTATGATGTCTTGGACATCAAGATAAATTTTGTAAAACCGAGTCAATTAATGTGTACCCTAATCTCTCTTCTATCAAAACCCCGCAGCCTTCTCATTCTCCCTCTTCTCTCGTTTTCGGTCGCGCAGTAGAAGGAAGAAGAGAGAAAATCTCAAGTTTGAAAACGATCGACTCCACCCTCTCTCTCTCTTTCCTTTCGGCTTTCTGTTTTCTTTTTCCCGTCAGTTTAATTCGATCAGCACGCAATCGCCCTCCTTTCATCATCGTCCCAGGCCGTCATCTCCTTCATCACCGTCGCAGCATCATCGCCATCGCCCTGATCCTCTGAACGTGCAGGCCATCTCCGACCATCTTCTTCGTCAAGTGCCATCGCGTGAGCCTGCGATCTCAGAATCCCGTCCGCCGCTGCTCCCTCCTCCGCGTCGCGCAGCACCATTCCCGGCGAACTTCCCCCCCCTCCGGCGACCCCAGCAACGAGCACGTTGCTCCTCACACGTTCACCGGCAGCCACTGCCTTCTTCCCCGCGGCCGGCGTTTTACTGGCGACAACCTCGACGAGCAGACAGACGAAGGTCGAGGCCAGCGGCGAGAGAGATGTCCGTGCGATTATTCGACGACGTCGAGCCCCACCGATTCCTCCCGTTCGCAGCAGTCCACTCGAAGTCCTGTCAATTCTCCTCAGTCGCTCGTCCCATCAAGCAGTGACTGGTTTCCTTCTTTAACAAGCAGTGGCCGATTCGGGCCCGTGCGAGCAAGTTCAGCGTCACCCCGTCGGCCTTCGTTCAGGCCCGAACAGCAGTTGCAGCGGCCGTGCGTGAAAAATTGATGGCCGAGAGCGAGCCGGGAGATAATCAGCAAGTTCGAGCCCGTTTTCTCCGATCTGCTTCATCAATTCTCGTTATTTTCCCGTAAGAGGTATATTTGGCTGAACTAATTACCTCTGTTTGGCTGAGTTTTGATGCTCTTTTATGCTTGAGTTTCAGTTTGAATACGGACGGATTTAATGTTTTAAAATGTGAAATTGAGGTGCTTGATAAGTGTGTTATGGTCCTGAACTTGTTATATTTTGCGGGTGCTGTTATGACAAACATTCATGACTGTTGGTTTAGTTTTGAAAAGAAGAGGAGCTTGGTTTATGAGATGATGCCTTACTAGATTGTGTAAATTGGAGGCTATTGCTGTGTTATTTTTGTGTTGATTAGTATGATGAATATCAGATTTTAGGATCTGCTATAAGGTCTTCATGTTGTCTTCGTTATGTTGAATTCGAGATGTGATTAATTGCGATGATATGTTGAATAAGAGAATATGTGAAAATTTGTGGTGTTATGTGAATTGTGAC